AATAATATGATATTTTTTAATCAATATATAAAATTTATCGATTTATTTTAATTTTTATAATTATTAAATATAATAATTAAAGCAAGTATGCTAATGCTTAAACATATCATTAATAGTTAGTATTTCTTTTGATGCTTTATAGTTTCTGTGGGACTTAGTTTTCCTAATTAAACGAAATGTTGGACCACTTCAGTATGTCGAGGAAATGAACTGCTAAAACTTTTAATTGTAGATTTTGACAAAAAAAAAATCATAAAACAAAAAAAAAAAAAAAAAAAAAGTAAGAACAAGGAAATAATAGTTGGAAAAGAATCTTGCACGCAGTCGTCAGTCGTCAACGATTTGGCCAACCATAGGCAAAAGGTATCAAGTCGTGAGAATAGGTAGGGGTAAATCTGGTAATTTGAAATTAAATACAATGATAAAATAAAAAGTATAAAGATAACAAGATTTAAAATTTTAATAAAATTAAATAATTATATTTATATTTTTATATTAATATAAATTATATTTTAGTATAAAATATAATATAAATATAATATTTTACATGATACAATAATATAAATTATCAAATATAAATAAGCACGATGAATGTTGTTTACTAAATAAGAAGACGATTAATGCTTTTGATTAATAGTTAAGTTTCGAAATTTTTATTTAATAATGAATAATATTAATTAAGGTGACATTTAATAAAAATAATAATTAAATATATTTTTATGCGTAAAATGTAATTTTTTTAAAAAGTTATTTAATTATTTTTAATCAGTATTTATAAATACCAACTTTATCCACATTGTTAAGGTTTTTATATTTTAAAAAATCTTAATTTCGTGGTATAAAAAATTATAATATTTACAATCAATGGCAGCGAGTGATGTTGAATTTGTAGTGCTAATGGTAATTAACTAGCAGCCTTTGGCTCTAATGATTAAATAACTCTTTTGTTCCAAATGATTGAACAACTTTATGACATTAAATTTTGTCTCAATTGATTCACTGATTTTTGAATTAATTGTTATGTTATTAGGATTTGGTGTTTAAAAATTATGGATCAGATAAAGTTTATACATATATATTTTGGGATATTTAAAATTATGTCATATTTTTTTAAAACATTTTAAAATTTTTATTTTTTTGTATAATATTTAAAATTTTGTGACATTAAAAATAATAAAAATTTTATTTTATAAATTTTTTTTAAAATTTTAACATTAAATATATTAAATTCAAACTTTTTTTTTAATTTTGCCAAAATTAACACATGTTAAATAATATCAGTCAAAAGAAGTAATAATTTTAATTAAATAAATAATAAGATAAAAATTTAAAAGTAAATTAAAATTTTAAAAAAATGTCTCAATTTTTATCGAATTCTTACAATAAACAAGACCAATAATTTTTTTTTTTTTAAAAAAAAAAACGTGACTAGGCGATTGACTGGGCTACCTCCATAAGCCAAGGGACTGGACCAAGCCTACTCTTTATGTCCAAACCGCCCAGCTCAAGTCCTTTGTTAAATTCTTGAATTATAAATTTTTTTTTTATTATATGAATCGAAAACAATCACATTCAAAATTCATTCAGCTTTTGCACTGTATGAAACAATATTAAGAACATCAAATAAACAAACATCCTTAACATAACTCTTTTTAATTTCAAAATAAAAACTTTAGTTGGCATTTAACTATTAAACAATGTCTTCAACAATATTTGAATCCCAAAAAAAAAAAAAAAACACTTCATTGGAAACATTAGTTTGCCCTCTAGACATGTATTTTGTAATTAATAAAAAATAACAAGTGATAGCTTATAAATATTCATACATTTTTTTATTATTTCCATGAAAATAGATTTGAAATCAATAATTATTATCATCGAACTTAATACTCAAATACTATACATAATTCTTCAAATAATGATTTATATTTAATATATTATTATTATTATATAAATTTTATATATTATCATTAATCAGATTTATTTAAACTAATTTTGACTAAATCCAACCTTGTTCGTAATGCTTTTAAATAAGCCTCCTTGGGCAATTCCAAATGAATGTCTGACTGTGTGATTAATAAATTTATTAATTATAGTCTGACGAAAAAGCCAACCTAAAAGTCTAACTAAAAATTGCCGCTATGTAATTGTATGAAAGGGATCACACGTTTTTAGCCTGTCCTCCCCTTCTAGTGGGATCCTCACCATGTGGGTCACCACATTAAATCTTTTTTACCGTCATTTTTTCTGATTTGTGGAGTCAAACACCTTACCCTACAAAACAGACCCTTAATCTCCAATCACCCAATAATCACAAGCCACGAGATAATAAGAACGATTAACTTAATCACTAGCGGACCATGTTTAAGTAGTTCCTTACGTGTCAACAAGAGAAAGCATGAAAATCCGATTGCACGATATGTTCACCGGCATAGAATAAAACCTCTTCATGGCCTTAAATTCAGCAATGTCGACGTGTCGTTTACCAACCATCCCTCCTTGACAACTCGTTGGGTGAGACCAGACAAGAGTCAACCTTCCAGAACACCCCCAGAACTTAACGCCAACTCTAGAAAACAACCCACCCCACCACCACTTTACGAAACACCTCCATTGCCGATCATGGCGTTCATCACCTCGGCCCCATCTCCATGCCCGATCCTCTCTCCCTCTTCATCATCATCACAGCCGCGTCGTCACCGTCATCTACTTCATCATCATCATCATCATCACCGCCGCCTTTGAAGCTTCCAGTTGACTTCAGCCCACCGTTGATCGCCATGGTGGTAGCAGTCGCTGCAGCATTTTTAATCGTTACATATTCACGGCTCATCTCCAAGCGACTCATCCCTCCAATCCTCCGCTTCTTCCGACGTCGTCGTCGCCGCCGTCGCTACCTCCCATCCACCACGACTGACCTCGATTCTCTTCCACCTTCTGATCCCTTCGAACTCTATCTTTCTCCTTTTGGCCTCGATGACTCTTCCATCAAAACCCTGCCTCTTTCCCTCTACACTTCAAAACCCAAACCCAATAACAGCCCCAAAGGACTGTGCCGTTTGTTTGTTAGAGTTCGAAGACAATGAATACATCCGAACACTCCCCGTTTGCTCCCACGCCTTCCACGTGGATTGCATCGACGTTTGGTTGAAATCACATGCTAATTGCCCTCTTTGTAGAGCTGGAATTTTTGCTACAGAATCTCCTTTTACTCCGTTAATGGCAGCCAGAATCCGTCCCAGCCTCGACGACACTCTTTTAATCAACAACACCTTGGATTCCTTAACAGATACTCCTCTACAGTCTCTTCCAAATAACACCATAACTGAAATAACCGAAGAGCCGTCACCGAGACGAGCGAATGGGAATAGTAATTGTGAGGAAAGGTTCAATTTTGTTTTGAAAAGGTCTTATTCATTTGGTTTCGAGAGGAGTTTAGCAGCGGAAAGGATGGTAACGGAGCCCCACACGGCGTCGCCTTGGAGGTACAGGATTGGAGGGAATGTGTTTTGGAGCAAAAGGGCGTCGCCGTTTGGGTCTTTAATGACGAAACGAGGGTTTTCTCTTTTAGGTATTACAGAGGGATGAAAGCTTCGCCATTTTTTCGACGGAGAGGGTTTTTCCCATTGTCAGAATCCAGTGTTAGGTTTTCTGGAAGTGGCGGCGGCGGCTCGTCTAGGAGGAGTAAGTCACTGGCGAGTCCCATGTTTTTAAGATCATCGGCTTCAAGTGTTACGGCTTTCTCGTCAAGTCGGCTCAGGTGCGGGGATCCCGATGCATTACTGTCACCGGATAGGTTTAACAGAAGATAAAAAAAAATTATTTCTTCAAAAAAAAAAAAAAAAACAGTGGGACATGTGAAACGTTGCATAGAGAGATCGAAGGGGGAGGGAGGGTCCGGTGAAATTAATGGAAAACAAGCATGCAAGTAAGAGTTAACGTATGAGAGAGAGGAGAGCTTCGGGCTCTGGCAAGTGAGAGTCGAAAAAAGGGGGGCATTAATGGGGGGTAGGGAGAGGGCATTAAATGAGAAAATTGACGAGAGATGGACACGATTTTTGAGCTTTCTCTTTATTTTCTCACTCTGAGTCTTAAGCCTGCATAAGAAAAAAGGCTCATAAATGCTGATGCGATTCTTGGATAAAGGAAGGGTTCTTACAATTTGAATGGGTTCCGAACTAACAATGTTAACTGAAGTTGGTTTGGTTATGGAGCGGCTTTGGGGTTGGATTTAGTGTTTTGAGGTTCATGTTGGGATGCGAACATGGGCATTTGATCCAAAATCAATCTCTCGATTCTTATGTGCTTGCTATGTGAGCATGAATCGCACAGCATCTGGTTTTATTCATTGATGAGAACGAAAGGAAAGGGAAAACAAATGGCAGTGCCGGGCAGAGAGTAACTTCAGCTTATTTATGCACCCTGATGAAACATGAAGGCCTCATTTCATTTTGTCTATTCAATATGGTTCTCACATTTTCTTCTTCAATGGAGAATTAGAAACATTAATTATGGCTTTCAAATATACAAACATAGTAACACATTTTTTCCCTTTATTTATGTATTATCTACTTATGTACCTTCTACCTAGAAATTTTCATTTAACCATTGGTAAAAGTCAGATGAGTACAAAGCAATGAATCATAATAAAAGTTCAACGTTTTATGTTTGATTTTTTTTTTTTTAAGGTTTTTGTGTAAATAAATTCACATAATATATATATATATATATACACACACATAATTATGTGATGGTATTTTTAAAAAATAAAAGAATAATATGAATTTTTTAGGTTAAAAAGTTAATGCATGAAAAAACTAATTATATGTATATAATACATATTCATGTGTATATGTATTGTATTTAATTTTAATCCAACAACAAAAAAAAAAAAAAGGAGGAAACTCATTGACCACGCTCGTGTTGGTCAAGGCCAAGAGGCACGTGTCACATCTCTTTCCCTTGATTACAAAATCTAGCCATAAAAATACCAGAATCCCAAACGTAGCTAGGGTTTTAGCTACTCGCCGTCGACCCAGATTCAAATCGAAAGCACAGAAAATCAAATTAGAAGCAGCGATGTTCCAGGGAATGTTTATGCGGAAACCAGACAAGGCGGTGGCCTTGAAGCAGTTGAAGGAACACGTGGCCATGTTTGGGGTGTGGATAGCTGTGATTCGTGTCACTCCTTACATTCTTCATTACCTCTCTGGTGAAAAGGAAGAGCTCAAGCTCGAGCTCTAGATACCTCCTCTCGTTCTTTTCAGGTAATTTTAAGCCTTCGACTTTATTTTACTCTTTACCCTTGTCACGATTATTCTATTATAAAAAGGCCAATTTTGTGGACTGGGTATTGTTTGTTATGTGGGTTTTTTTCCAGATCTGAATTATTATATCTGGGTTAAATACCAATTTTTATTTAAAAAAAAAATTGTGCCTGAAATTGAGTTTAAGCAACAACCAAACACTGTCTAACAAATACTGTAAGTGTTTGTATGCTCAAGACATGCTGAGGGAGATTATTAATCTGAGTGATAGCAATGGAGTGAGAGGTTTTGGACATGGCTAATTTGATGTAACTGAATGTTTTGTAAATAGTTAAACTCAGGAAGGCAATGAAATATGGTATGATGGATTAGGATTAAGACTAAAAAAAAAATTAATAGGTAATAGAGCAAAGGTCCTCTTTGTCTATAGGAAGCTGAACGAGGATGCCTTGCCCTTGGGTTTTGAGTTTGAGGTGGACTACCCTCCAGGAGGGGGGGGGGGGGGGGCTTTTAATTGTCCTGAGTTTCATTTTTATTAAATGTTTGGAGCAGATTCATTTGCTTGGGATGATTTCTTTTATTAACAACATTTTTGGAGTATACCAATCCATTTGATTTCCTTGAAAGTTGCTATTACTGTCTTGTTACTTGTAGATTGTGTTATAGTAGCTCTGAAAGCTGTTCTTCCTATCCATTTGCATTATACTGTTCCTTGGTGCCTTTCCCTTGGCAAATTAGATTAGAATAACTGATTATTTTGCTAAACTTGCATAGTTTTTTTTTTTTTATGGGTTTTAGAACTATTTAGTTTCTTTTGTTCCAAATAATATCATTATCCAAATTAGTTGCTTTGTCTTAAGTTGCCATGTCGTCAGGAAATTACCCAATGCACTATCTTTTGTTTATGATTCCTTGCCAGTATTTGACAACTTTTATGGTGGCAATTCAAATAGATACTGTTATTTCATTTTTTTTCTGTGATCTTTGCATAAGATAATCAGAACATGTGCGCACCTCAAATTGATGCCTTGTAATTTGCATTTAGTGGTTGGGAAACAGATTGATTCGTATGGTAAATATGGGAATCATATAGTAGCCACATCCCTCCTTTTATCCTATTGTGTTACTTAATCACGGTGATGCCAGTGGCTAGTGGAAGACACTTGTCTTTTATATGATGTATTATTGTTAAAGTTGTCTTGTTTGTTACCGATTTTTCGTCCTTTCATGGTGCAGTGGGTCTACAAGGAGAGAATCGGATTGGAATGTAAAAGGGTATCCAAATTTCAGGTTCCTTTTCCGCTTTAGTATGAGGCCATTGCGTAATCACATTTCGTTATTTTATTTTATATCTTGGCATTTTGTGTGAGGAAAATAATTGCCAAATTCGCTACGGGAAAAGTACAAAAATGAGGTGGGGATCTGATCTGATGACATAGCAGCTACCAAAAAACATATCATATGCAGCTGCTCTAGTTTTCTGGACTTTCTGTTGTAACATCCTCATCGACATTTATCTGTTTTTCTCTTAGAATTTGACTTTTGAAAGTATTACCACTGGATGCTGCAGCAATGGATCAAATTTGCAGAGGCTAAGGTCTAAAGAGCCAAGCACCCAAACAACAGCTAATACTAGTAATAGATAAAATTTGGGTGCTTCTTGCTTACCATTAGACGTGATAACTGATCGTATCGGATTTGATTAAGGTTTTTTAGATTTTATATAATTTATGAAAATTTAAATTTAAATTTGATTTCGAATCTAATTTTTATTTGAGATTTGAATCAAATTAAATTTTATCGGTTTGGTTCAATTTATAAATTTTATTTATTATTATTTTTATATATTATTTTAAGATATTTAAATAAATTTTGATATAAAATTATTAGTTTTATTTATAAAAATTTAAAAAATATATAAATTAAAAAATATATATAATTCGGTTTGATTCAGTTATTTTTTTGGATTTTTCATATCTTGGTTTGAAATTTGATTGAACTTAATATATATATATATATAATATTCAAATTTAATTTGAATTAAATTAAACAAAAAAAAAATCGAATAAAAAATTATGGTTTCAAAATGGTTTTCAGTTTTTTTCGACCTTACTTGCCATTGCTCCTCTAAATTTCTGCATTTACTTAAATACCAATTCATTTAACGCATTTTGAATTGTTAGTGTGGTAATCGTGGTGATGCCAATCATAGAAATTATGGCATTCGACTTGAAAATACTGTCATAAAAATCACAAATGGATAGAAATTCTTTTAAATATAAGCTAAGGAGTAGTATATTATACCATCCGAAAGAATTTGGGAGAGATGATCAGGAAAAACTTGCTTCTCAATGATCATGTATTCTACATTACATGTTGTCGGGGGAAAAGAAAAATACCATCTTTTTCTGTGTTATGTTTCGTCATAACCTAGCAATTATTAATTTCACCACTTTGAATTTGGGATTAAGAACAAAGCCCCCTTATTTGTTATTGATTGAACGATTTACCGATTGAATCCATGAATCGATTTTTTTATTGGTTTATTTCATCATTAATTAAATTTAAATATTAATTTTAACGGCATCATTTAATATAAATTGTTTATTAATTTTTTAAATTATAATTATAATAATAATAATTATTATTTTTAATTTTATCAAAATCAATCTTGCTGTGTATCTAAATAATGTTAATCATCTATGTAATTAATGGCCCAACCCAAGAATTATTCTCGAAAAACAAAAAGTATGCCACTGTCATGAAGAAGAAGGTTTTTTGGAACTGCATGGAAGAAGAACTATATTTCTCTAATAATCAAATCAAGCTACTGGATAATATAGCTATAGCCTATAGCCAACAAAAAATTATAGTATTTGAAAAAAGGAACCAAGATATTGCAATAATTTTGAACAGATAGCCTGGCGAATCAGTTGGTGAGCATATGAAAAAAAAATCAGGCACCATTATCGTTGTGTTTCTTGATAAAGATTAAAGAGCCAATTAGCCTAAAAGATGCATGCTTTAATTTTGAACTCAGCCACATTCCTGTTGAGAGAAAAATGCTAATACAAATTTGTGCATATGGCTATTTAGGTATTTAAAAAAAGGATGTGTAGTGAAGTGATAACTTTAAACCCTAGGTTTTAAAATAAATATGAAAATTTAAAATAATAAGATATAAAAATGATACAAATAAAAAAAACGAAAATGAGTTAAAATTTTAATAAAAATTATAAATAAATTTAATAAAATTAAAAATATATTTTATATTTTTTATCGACACGAATGGTGATATTAATATGATATAAATACATGAATTATTAATATTTTATATAACATAAATATATAAATTATCATATTTATTTCAAGATGATTTTTTAGTTATTTCGATCATATTAATTATGAGGAAATTACTCTTTTAACTTAAATAATTTCCCTAATTCTATAAAAAAAAAAACTATAATTTCCCTAATTGATAGAGATTTGGCTCAATCTTGTTGCCTCAATCAACCTTTTGACACGCAGAAGAAACCTTTTCGATGCAAACATTGGCAAAGATTCCATTTTCAAAGGCTGGCTGTGAATCTTTGACTTGAAACCAATACTCGACCAGACTCAAACCACGGCTGAATCGCTAGTTTTTATTATGAAGGAAAACTAAACCCCAAGAATATTAATTCAAGTGGAGTTTTATATAAATGAAGTTTGTGAAAAATTTAACTCAAAACAACAATAATATTACTAGGGTTATTTCAAGTATGATGAAATAGATTTTGAAAAATTACGGATTACATATTATTAACCAAAAATCACAATACAATGATGAAAAAAATTACAGATATTAAAATTTAAATGTAATATTTATCATTAATTTTTGGTTTTATTTTATTTCTAGTTGTCTTTAACCTTTGTGCCTTGGGTTTTTGTTGAGAAGGAAACATATTAGAGCATGCCATGAAAAGGTATAGCAATGGCCAAAGAGAGGATAGGGAAGTGGTTTAAATGGCTCATCACTTTAATTATGTTTAATGATTTTCAATATTTCAAAAAAAGATTGAAATCTGAGACAGATTCATAAATTTTGTCAAGAAAGAATGTGAAAGATGAAACTATATATGTATTTCCCTACATGACTTATGCTAATGGGTTGCAGTCATTCGTATGGCAAGGATTTGCATAATACACCATTTTCATGGATTTGTTTTGAATTTCCTTCACATTTCATTAACAATATCGTAAATTCATTGGATTTTGTACCCATATGTTAAGAAAATTAAGTATTGGAGCAGAATAAATACAGTTTGAATTCTATAGGTTTCCTTATCATTTGTGTTGATCCTGTGGGCAAACTTGCAGACAGCCAGATTTGGCAGAGTTGAGTAATGACATACTCATGAAGAAAATGAAATCTTTGGGGCTTGACAATTAATGTCCATATCTTCAAGAAAAATGAAGATACTGTTGGCTTGCTTTTCTCTGTCTATATAAAGGTTAATGCCACAGTCCTTCGATCCACCCCAGCCTGCCTAGTTCAACTCGCTCTGTTTTTCTCTTTAGACAGGAAATATTATTAAAAATGGGTATTTGTGCATCTTCTCAAAGCATGAAAAAGGTTGGAAATCTGAGCTGGGTACAGCCACGACCAAAATATTATATCCAGATGGAAGGCTTCAGGAATTCAGGCAACCCATCATAGCCAGCTTTGTTCTCTCCCAGAATCCAAACTGTTTCCTTTGCAACTCAGAGTTAATGGATGTAAACTCATTGCTGCCTCACGTACCTGAAGATGAAGAACTTCAACTGGATCAAATTTATTTTGTCATGCCACTGTCTAAATCTCAAGCAACACTTTCCCTTCAAGAATTATGTTCCCTTGCCATTAAGGCTAGTACAGCCCTATCTCATTTGGACAAGTTTTTCTAGTCACAAAAATTTGTGCAATTCTCATATCAAAGTGGGACAAGATTCATTGCAGCTGGAACTCAAGGATGCTGTAGAGTTCCCATTGGATTCAACATCATTGGAATCAATTCCCCTGAAAGGTCAGGCAACCCAAAAATTGTCTTCTAAATCCTAGAATTTTTCTCACAAAGTCATCCATCTTAGTCTGTAACGAAGCATCATGGCGCTTAGCATGCATCATTTCATACTTGCTAGAGTCCAAATTTAGAAAATTATTGTATTGATACTTGGAAGAGTTGCCATATGGTGACAACACTTCAAAGGTTTGTTAAAAATTTATGCCAAAATTTATTATATATAATTTACACCAATGCTTTTATTCAATTATTATTACAAAATCACCAGTTCTATAATATAAGCTTGTTTATTTTTAAATTGACAGTTGCTGATCATGAACACCACTTTACATGAATATTATAAGCAGCAAAATATCTGATGCAATCTTTCTTTAGATTCAGAAACATCTGCATATATATATATATATATATAATATTTGGACTCAGCTTAATTCCATTCTGTTACATGTGAAATTCTATGTCATATGGATTATCAAATGAAAAGAGAAGGATTCAGATAGGAGAGGATCACTATAAGGCAATCAACTGTAAAGTTTTCTTAATATGGAAGTCGATTATACTGCAAAAGAAGGCAGAAGAGGGAGAGAATAAAAAATGGAAGAAGCACCCAAATCTTGACCAGGACTTTAGTAGGCTGATTTTTGGTTTTTTTTTGGCCAATATTTGGGTTTTTTTTTTAAAATTTCCTAATGTATTTCTAAACCTTCACTTTTTAAACTTGCCTGATTGAAAAAAGATATTATATACATCAACTTGTTCGAATTCACAACCTTCAAGAGCCAACAGATATCTCATGTTAGCTGATTCAAAAAAATTCGTTCTAATTTGCAATTTTCAAACACCAATAGAAATCTCTTACCAATTGATCTAAAAGTTAGTCGACTGATTATTGGTCTATTTTCTTTCAACCATTGAGTTGTCATATATATAATTATATAGCATGAGTTTTGGCATCATTAATCATTTCATGTGAAATGTGTCTTCAAGCAGGAGCCAAGAAAGAGTTCATATTGACAGCTTGTGATTCTTTGTTTCAAAATTTATCGTTTCTTTTGCAACATTTTGGATCAAATTGAAGTGGGTCCTTTTTCACATTAATAGTATGTACAGTGCAATTTAATAACTTTTGGAAGTCGAAGTATTATCGTCATGAATCAACAGCAAGGGAGAAAAACCACATTAATAACCCAACAAAATGCCATGCGGCTAGTTGGCCAATGTCGGGCTTGATCATAAAAGCAAAATTACAATTGAAAATTTCTCGCATTTTTACACCCCATTGCTATCCCATTTCACAAAAGCCACAAAAACCAAAGGCTGCTGAATTAAAACTTCATTACACCAAATAAAAGTAGAGTTATACACACAATGGGGAGTCATATCAAATTAACCGCACCCATAATTTATATCTGGCTTGGCAACAATTGACTCAAATGGTACTTCAATCCTCTCTTTTACCAAGCATCGAGCTTCTCCGCCCTCCATCACCAGGACTTTCCCAGGTGGACATTGGACAGTAGAATTCTTTTCTTCAGTTGCACGTTGCTGAACCATGGCCAAAAACTTGAGAGGGGTGCCTTTCCCAAGGTTTGGCACAAAATTGGACAAGCTTAATATGTATATTACACCAACAAGGGGAAGCACCGTCTTGACTGCTGAACTTATGAAGTGGCCCAATCCTTGCCTCAAGTTTCTGGATTTGTATTGCTTCTTATTCTCCTGATGTCCGTTCATGATCGTTGGGTCGTTTGTTGGGTCACCAGGGGTAAGCCCATTTGTCAAAGACTTGTATGTTGACTGCAAGTGTGAGGGATGGCAACGGGTCGGGTCGGGGCGGGTTTTTGCTCGCCCCGAACCCGACCCGATTTTAAATACACAATACCCGTACCCGTACCCGACCCGAAAATTTTTTTATTTTTAATACCCGAACCCGACCCGATCCGACAGTGTATAAAATCAAATCCGACCCGACCGAAATAATAAAATATTATTTAAATATAAATATAAAATTAAATATATATAAAAATATATATAATTAAATGTAAAATTTAAAAAATAATTAAAAAAATAAATTTTTTATATTATCGGTCGGGTAGGGTCGGGTTTGCTTAAAACCCGACCCGACCCGACCCCGAAATTTTTTTGACTCTACCCGACCCTACCCGACCCGATACCCGATTTTCAAAAAAAAAAAACCGACCCTAAGGGGTCGGGTCGGGTCGAAACCCGACGGGTTCGGGTGATTTTGCCCACCCTAAGTGTGACAAATAGCCGTTATCCAAAACCAAGGATCGTGGGGGGTGACTTGGATATGGAGGAAGGGGGAGATCATTATTGTTCTCCACTGTTTCACTAACAAAAGCAGCAGCCTCGAGAATCACTTCCAAGTCCTTCCCTTGATATTCTTCAAGCTTCTGCAAGAGTATTCTCCGGCTATAATCAATCTTGGCAAGGGCGACTTCCTTTTCATACCGTTGCTGATGTTGCAGATTCTGTTAAGTCAAGAAAATTAAACTTCTGTACCATTCAAAACCTAAGGATGTCTACCGTTGTTAATTTTTTAAGAAATATGTTGTCAACACAAACATCTATTTTCTAGGCATACCCTTTTCATGCATGCAACGACATAATGAAAACACTTCAGTTAATTGGCATAGCACCCAATAAGTTAGCAAGAAAGCAAATGACTACCAATAGGTGCCTTGAATTCTTGGAAGTTCAACTCTTCCTCAACTAACTTCATACAGAAATATGTTACTCTGCCCCCATTCCAGAACAACATGCAAAAGAAGATGTCCATAGGGTTACGTCTAAATGTCTTGATTCTCGAATGTGACTAACTGCTCCACTCGCAAATCAGAGGATGCAGCCATAGTAAAAAAGAATGACTTTAATCTTCAATGAGTTTTCCAGACAACTCTTCACACCCAACCCTGGATAAACTAATTAACAGGAGAATTGCCTTCTCAAGCTCTTTCTAATTTCTAAAAGTTCAAGCAGTCCACAAAAATCGTTGTTGTTACATATGGCCAGTCTCAAGTAACTTCATAAAAAAAATTGCCAAAACCAGAGGCAAGTAAGTTCATTATAACCATATAGTAACAATAACAGCTTTTCACAATCCTGTGTACTCATAAACTAGCTGCAACTTCCATAACCTAGTTTCCGGAGGCTTTCTTAAAGTTACCCAATAGCAGATATCTATCCAATGATGATGGTGTTGTTGAAATGGTCCAACTAATCGTAAACAACCACTATCGAAAGAAAACGAATGGGGAAAGTTGTATATGGTGGAAATGATTCAATTCAATCAGATACAGAAACTAAAATTGACAATTCTGAGGCTGTTTGTTTAGTTTTACCATAACTAGGCAATCTAAAAGGCCAAAAAGAAAACAACTCCAACCATCTTCCTTCCTTTTTGTATTACTTAAACAAAGAATCAAAGCACAATTAATTGACAAAAGCCTAGACCATTTGGCACAAATCTATATATAGGTAGAAACACAAAATGCAAGGCAATCCAGCCAGTATCTTAGACTACATTTGATTCTAGTAGAAATGCATTCCAAATGATATAATTACGCTTAGCTAATTACTTTAGAAAGAATATAATAAGGCTTAGCTTTAACCCCAAAGATTTGTTACTTATGTTCCATAACATACAAATTGGAACTTGAAATTTGGATCCCATGGGCAATTTTCTTTTAGTTTCCCCATTAGTTTCGCGTATTTCTATGCAAGCAGGCCAAAAACAATGTTAAAACAATGAAACAAAATCAGGGTTTTTTAAGGGCTTCAGGTTTATAACATAAAAAATACAATATTTAACAAAATGGGGAGAGAAAAAGTTAAAAGACTTTTAAAATAACAAACCTGCAAAGCAAACAGCTGGGATTCAAGGGATTCAAGGGCATCTCGAATATTCAAGAGCCTTTCTGTTTCTTCCTCTTCTTGTTCTTCAACAGCTTCTGTCAGACTTTGATGAAAATTAGGGACTTTGTCTCCGTTAAAGCTACCCAATTTATCAGTTTGTTCCTCATCTTGTTTTTGTGGACTTTGTTCCTTTGGAGAAGAGGGCTTCCCGGCGGCGGCTTTTTGGATGCAATTGCTGATTTTCAATCTCAGTTCAGTAGCCTTTGCTAATGCTAACCCTACTCGCTCTTCTTCCATTTTCTTTCCCTCCCTCTCTCGCCCTTTATTTCTTCTTTTTTCCTCTTTTGTTTATTATTTATTGTTTATAATCAGAATTAATAACAAATTAAAAAAAGAGAAAATAATAAGAGTGGAAATTGTAAAGAGAGAGAGAGAGAGAGAGAGAGAGCAAAGGATGGGACTTCTAGCGAAGAAGTGTCGAAATTGCTTTTGGGGCTGTGATGCACAAGTGATTCTGCTGAGCTCTTGGTCAGCAAATGGATGAGGTTGGAACTATTGGGAGATTTGCGTGTCAATGATCTATAAAATATTAAAATTTGTTTCTTTATATTAAATTTTATGTAAAAATTATATATTGTAATTTATGTGGGTATAAAAAATTAAAAATATAAAATATTTTTTATTTTATTAAATATATATAATAATTATTAAAATTTTAAATTATATTATTTATATTATATTATAGTACTATATTTTAAATTATCAAACCTATTTTTACCGTACATCGTCCATTTAGTTCGGCTTAAATCCAAATTACTCCTTTGACTTAATTTTATTTTTTCTTTTCCATTTCAATTTCCTTGTGTTATAGTAGTTTTTTTTAGGGGTTCATAAGCATAAGGCCAAGAAATTGAGCTGATGAACCCAAAGCCCCCACAGCTATTCTAAGAGCAAACTCTAACCTCTATTTTTTCTAAAACGAGATTACGTGGGCTCTGGTACCTATTATTCGTGTGATACGCACGTGAAACTAGTCGGTTTCATTTCCTTTTCTAAAAATAAAAATTTACCTTTTTTATTTTCTTCTCTTACCACACAAGTGATCTGGAATTTATTTTTTTATATTAAAAAAATCACTTATAATCAAAAATAAATTTATATGTTATAATTTAAATTTAAAATGACGTCATAAATCAAATAAATTAAGTTTTTCTTACACAGAGATTTAAGATAGATAAATAGAAAACGAACTTACTTTCTTAACGTTTAACCGACAGCTTGAAAGTCGGCGGGTCAAGAGACCAAAGAGGATCAAACCGGAGACAGAGGGAAGAGTACGATTAGACCCCAGCAGTTCTTGATGATTATAAGGAAGCTCTGATGAGAATCTCGTTCTTCTGTTTGCTAAACGTTGCCCAAACGATTGGTGCCGTTGGTTTTGTTTTCCATAATAGTCTTGTATATAAAATGTTTTCTCTGCTTCGGATTTTGCGGGGTTTGGGGTGGCCTGAAGCCAGAAGCATCGACGGAGGTCCAAGGCTGTCGAAGTCATCGTCGGAGACGGAGATTGGGATGGATATTGAGGACATCATTGCTGGCGGGAAAGGGGGAGTTTCGTTTCCTTGGGCCTTATGAATTGTGAGAGTGGAGAAGTCGGTTGACACTTGATTTAGTTACAAGTGACGACGGCGTCGTTTTTCCATTGCCAATGAAATGAATGGAGAGCCGGCGTCGTTGGCTATTCTGTATCTTTTGATAATAAAATGACACACATAACGAACATATGCTTTGATCCCTCCAACTTGCTGTTAATAGCATTACAAGAAATAAATTTTAATCAAACTCCATAGTCACTAAAACATTTTTTACCAAAGATTCAAAAAAATCTTAAATGACGAACTTTGCCCCCACTCAGAATCCCAGGATGAGAATTTACAGTAAATGGATTTTCAGTTCACAGAGCTCTTCCAGGATATCTCTATTAAATTACAAAGGAAGCACAAAAAGTGGAGACAAAAAAGATCCCAGGTAGGGAAAGTGAAACATTTGAGTGGTGCTCAATCCATAAATGATCAAATCCCATTAGACAAAATGTGGGTCTCCAGTTAAATCTGTACAACTGTACTTACCTAGAAAAAGTTTATCAGAGATCAATTCCTGTCAAGAACTTCTGCTGGCAGGTTCAGATCAAAGAACCCACCTCCATAACTCTCCTTTTTAGGTTGCTTCTCGGGTGGACAATCACTGTCATCCGAACTCGCAAAGCTGAAAGGTCGATCACGTTTGCCTAAATTGCAATGTGTCAGTAAAATCTTTAGAACATATATGAGTTTTAAAAATCTTCAAACTATGCATGTGTGTGCGTGTGTGCGTGTGTGTGTGTGTGTGTGTGTGTGTTGATCTCCAAAGGATTAAGTGCACATACCACTAGTGCCACAATCGGATGGAAGGCATTTATCAGTCGCACTACTAGCTTTGTTATTCCAACAGACGGCAAGCTCTGATGCTTTCTCAATGCCCTTTGATTTATATGGAGCTATATTATGGGTATTACATTGGAGAGAACCCAATAAGTCATTCTCAATGCACTCGTACCTGCAACCCATAGTCTCAGCACGAGAGTTTAAAACACTTTCATAAACATTAATTTATATATAATAATAACTATACTTACATTTTCTTACAAAGGGTATCAATGATCACAGAAAGATTGATTACTTGCATTCGTATCTCCATAACTTTATCATCAGCATATTCATCAAATGGCTCTTCCAAAAACTTAGAGAGTTTCTCAACATTTGCCTCAAGTTGCTGCTGCTGATCCTCAAATAGATGCTGTTTTATTTCCCTTTCCTCATTTGTCATCTCATCCTTGAATAATTCTTCACCAAACATGTAAAAGGCAAATGGGTATGAATATGAAAGAACCCGCCTTGATCGAAACAGTCTACAGATTCCATTAGTTACCCAGGTGAAATCTCTTAGCCTCGATTCCCTCTCTTCTGAAATTGACACCTTCTCCAGTATAGTCTCCTTGAGTTTACTCTCAAGCTTAAAGGAATCTTTACGAGCTTTATAACGGTTGTGATAATGCATATACCGATAGAGATCTCGCTTTGCTCGTTCAGTCTTTTTCTCACGATCTTCTTTGTATCGACCACAGCTGTGACCAGCAATTCTTGACCAAGTATGGTCCCGCCCAGTAGCTCCACCACACAGCCAACTGCATCAGTTGAAAAGAGAGAAAATGTGATAAAAAAAATAAAATCTCCAGTAATTCATATTCCGCAGCATGTAAATCATGTAAACAAGCGAAATAATACCAGTACTTGGTCCAATATTATTAAAAATAAATAAATTGACACAGAAAAGAGGGAAAAAAAGTCACTTATGCTCTTGTTGAGGTGGCAGCTTGTGCAAGTTCAAAAGTTTTTATTTGAAATGAACAGTTATGCCAGAATCGAACACTTGATTCGTGAGAAGTACTTGTCACAACAATGACATTAGGACAGCTTTCAAAAAATTTGCAAACTGCAATTAACATAAAACGAAATCCTCACCAAAATGCTTGTCCACAGATACAGCTCACAAGATTACATCCACCATTCTTCTCCACAGGTTTGTGACACTTTGGACAAGGCTTTGTATGAATAGTGATCCAATTGACCGTTTCTGATTCATCTCGGCACTTCTTGGTCCAAAGCCCCCACATCATACATGAACATGGCGAGTGTGCTTCTGATAAGCAACTGAAACAAAACTGTACACCACAAGAACACTCTACCTCACAAAATTCATCATCCTCAACGCGTATTGCATTCCCACAATGAGGAGTACTAGGACACCATTTAACCATTCTATTATCTTCGATGTATGACTCAAGAAGAAAACGATCAAATTTCTCCGCTAGATCAGGATGCTTTTTACCAACTAGATTTCTAACAACAGCTTCATCACAAATAGCGATGCACTTGTGTGCCACGCACCTAATGCGCCTACTTTGACCCTCATTTATTTTCACAACAAAATGCTCTGTCCAACCTGGAAAACGAAGAGTGAAATACATCAACTCAAAAGACTAAAACGTGCAAGCTGTTACAACTTCAATAACTTTGTGCACATGTCATCATATGAGTTCTAAGTTGATACCTAAGGGTCAATTTCAGGAGTTTTCAGCATTGTGTACATGCTGATGTTACGTGGTTATGTGATACATCATACATAGGGATGCTTCAAGAAAAAAAGTGCAGACTAAGAAGGGTGCTTACAGTCATTGCAAAAGGTATGGCCACAGTCCATTTTTGTCATCTTATCACTAGGTAACTCTTCTATGCGTATGTCACACATTGCTGTAGATGAAGATGATACTGGTGTTCCTGTATCCTCACTCTCAACAACAGAAACACCTGCTTCAGAAAACAAGTCTGCTTTTCCCTTCTCCACAAGTACGACAAGCAACTTCTCAACATCCCATCGGTAATGAATTAGTAAAGTCCGAGCATGGTGCTCCCTAAGAGATAGCATGTCCATTACTCTCCGTAAATCCTCCCTCTACCCAAAAAACCAAAACAATCAATTCAATCCTATAAAATAAAACATGAATGCATGGGAAACCCGAATAAAAGGGAAAGGAAATAAATTTTTACCTGTGCAGCTAAAAGTGATTCTTTTGTAATAACCTGCGTAGTGCCAAAAAGAGTCACAAAAAAACTATACCCATTCTTCAAATTAAGTATAACTAGGGACCAAAAGGAAGAGAAAGATAAGAATTAATAGAAACTATGCATCTTGTTCTTCTTTACTACGATTTCCCGTGAAGATTAAAGCTTAAAGTTTTCCTATGTTCTGAGAGGGAAAAGCTTCAATGCACACACAATGCCATTTAGTATAACAAAAGCACAAAACACAAGCAACATCAGGTAGAAAAAATTCATCAAATTCGATGACCACCAGCTCCTCTGCCTATGAAATTAAAGAATTCCCTGATGAGCATACAAAAACCACACCCACACAATAGAACCCCAAAGCTGCTTCAAATTACTCTATCCCCTCAAAATCCACAAACCCAGAAAGGAAACAATAAAAGAAAACATTTCTTTCTCAGTCATTTACCGGTAATCCACAACTAATTCAAACCCCAAAACACTCTTTAATAAGGGAAAGACCAAAAACACCAAGCTCTACACTGAAACAAAAAAAAAAAAACCAAAAACCAAGAATTGGGAATCAATGACAATTAAAACAAGAAACTGAATTCCGAAGAAGCCAAACGAGAGAGAAACAAAATTTGACCTTGGTAGTGGGACCCTTCGAAGGGGGCCACTGTAAATCCGAGTCCTCATTCTCGAGCCCGTCGAGGGAGTCTCGATCGGACGAATAGTAGTAATCCTCATCGCTGCTCGAGCAATCCTCCATCGACCAATCGATCAATCAAAAAAATTCCAATTTATTTATAATAATAATAATTATTATTATTCTTATCCAATATCTCAAAACAAAAAAAATATATATATATAAAGCAAATTCACGTAACGATCATAAACAATCATTTATGAAGATGAATTTGTTGAAATTTTGAACCGATCGGTGGAAACCGAAACGATTCATCTCCGGCTAAAATTATAGTATTTATTTATTCTTCGCCGGCGAAAAGAGTACGAGAAGAAGAAGCCTTTTGTTGGAAAACGAAGTTTGTAAGAGACGACTAATATAATTAATGTTTTTCTTTTTCTTTTTTTATGTATTTGATAATTTGTGAGAGCTACCGTAGGCTGCAGCAAATAAATGTACACTGAAGAAGGAGAAAACGCTGTCATTTCATTTTTGTCCTTTTAATTTCCTTTTTAATTTTGGAATGTAATAATATGGCCAATTTTCTTACCATCCCCTGTCCGCAAAGCTCGGGCACCGGTTGTCTTGTCCTGCAGCTAAACACACGGATGGGAAGCACAAGCATCCTCTACTTCGCCTTAGGTAACATACTTCTTTTTTTGTTTCATCGAATGTAAATTTCTGCTAACTTGATTTCTATCCATTGAAATTTCATCATCTGACTGTGTTTTGTTTTTGAGATTTTTACCTGTACAACAGAATCTGCACTTCTTTTTTGTAGCACAAGGCACTGGTTATCTGAATCCTATAAACCTGATCCTACCAAGAAACCCAGTGTCACTCTTATTCCTAAAAGCCAAGTTATACTATTTCCCATCTTTGTGCTATTTGATTTGATTTTTTTTTTTTTTTTTGGGTTAGAAGTACTTATCTGGAAATTTCTGCTGAAGTTTGTAATTATAAAAAGCTGTTTAAAGAATCTGAAACTGATAGTATGTAATTTGTGGAAATGGGATTATGATCATTGTTTGAGCCTTGAGGTTCTATTTTTGGTATTTCGGTTACGAAACATAATTGCCAATTTCTGAAACTATCAGAAATCCAACATCTCTAGAGAAAATTGTTTCTTGGGAATTAGAAGCTTCTGCTGAGTGCTGAAATCTTCTTTCTGAATGTTGCCGTTTTGGGAAAAGTGAAAGATTTCCTGGGAGTCATGGCAGAAGCTAATAAAAGGCTTGAGCTTGACACAAAGGTTTGTTTTTTATTCTTAGTCAAATTTTGCTCATCAGTATGTGCTCTTTTTAAATTTCTAATCCATCTCAAAATGTAGATTAATTCTCAAAGTATTTGATATTGAAGTATTCAATGGGAATGAATCTGAAGTTATTGAAATGGTAACTTTGCAGTTGGATTCTCTCTTTCTCGGATTGTGCAAATTGTGTGGTCTGTGAGTTTGTTGTAATTTTTGGTTGCATATTATACGACAGGATTTGATGCTGGCTGTACCTGATCTTCACACCCGTGGCTCTGGCTGCTGCTGAATCTGCTATAGCTGGTAATCAGCCAGCAATTAGTGTAGATGGTTGTAGGTAGTGGAACAGAATCAGATGATAGCAGTGATGATAGTGATCGGAAAGCGACAATGATGTTAATGATGATAACGAAAATATGAAAATTATATTTTATATACGGTATTTTAAATGACATGATAAAAATTACTAGGTACTCATTTGATAGTTAGAAGTTTTAAAAAGGTGTCTCCCCGAAGGCGTTGCCAGGAGGGTCATAGTTGCAAGTGATGAAAGTTCCTCCATTAGCACACCTTACCTTTGCGCACCCTACATGGACCGAGTTGCGCCAAACCACCTGAGTATAATGGGCACAAATCTGGCCTGAAGCGCAACTATTTGAGCGGCCATCATAATAGACCTTCTCACCAACCCACATTTTGACTGCATCTGCGATCGAAAGGTCACCACTACCCCATGCAATGTTCTCCCCATATTGACCCCCAGAATGAACAAGATCACAGTCCCCAATTCTTTGATCGGCATAGTTTTGCGCATAGGCTGCCACTTGGTCATCCCAAGTCAATGCCTCAACGTTCACGTCAGCACGAACTTCATTTTGAGGATCCAAGAATTCTTTTTTCAAGCTTTGGGCGAAACAAGGCAAAGCAAAGGATGAGACTAAAGCAACTGCTAATGCAATTCTGTGCCAAGCCATTTTGGTTTCTAGCTGGGTTCTCAAAGGTAAAGGCAATGGTGATTGATGAAGAATGAGAAATTTGTGAAGGCTATTTATAACAAGTTGGAAATAGGTAATATTAAGCGAAATTTGCTCAAAGCAACGAATTCAGATAAGAATTCATAACAGTTTAATAAAACAGATTTGTTCAAAGCAACTTTCCGAAAGTCTGGCCAGACTAATTTTAGAACATGTTTGCATCTTTTCTGTAATTTTTTTTCTATATATGATCAATCATATAAAAGGTAAATAACTATAAAAAATTTTGGTCTCCAAATTTCTAGAAAATTGACAACTGTTTATGTTGTTTTTGTTAGGTAATCATTTTTTTTAAACCTTAATTTTTTAAAACACATAATTAAATAATAAGATGTTATACATCAGCTTTTATTTTATTTTTCTTGATTTAGAAGGGAACATAGCCCTTAAAAAGAAAATTCTTAACTCAGAAATCAAAATTTTTATATTCTCATAAAATTTCCTTAATCACTAGACAAATGTCGATTTTTAATTTTAAGACTGTTAAGATGGATTACAATAAGATCATTTCACATATTTGTATTTCTTGGTAAGCACCAATGCATCTGTTCTGAATGTTGAAATTCTGATATAATTATATATAAAAATTATGAAATATAAAATATAAAATTTAATTTAATTAATTTGTATAATTATTTTAATTTTTTTTTTTATAAATTTAAAATAGAAATATAAATACTTATAAATATTTTTTATTTTTAAATTGGGACTGCTTATATAAAAAATTGTGAAACATAAGATTCCACTCCGAGATTACGACATGGCCAGCAAGTTTCATGCGGATCATGCTTACGTCTGCCCGCATGAGTTGTTATTTTTTAAGAAAAAAAAAACTTATTTACTTCTTGTAATTTTAAAATAATGTACGTGACAAAGCCAAGGCGCAGTCAATAAAAAGTTCACTGGAATAATATTTTAACTTTTGCTGTATATATTATTTTATTGAAAAAAATTATGTTAAATACTTAAATCCAAAAATCTAAATTTAAAAAACTATAAAATATATTATTTCATGTTTTCATTAAAAAGTTAATATATATAAAAAAAATCAATAAACAAATTAAATTAATAATAAATCAATCAATAAGCAAAATCATCATTTGATGAAACTTTAACATATAAACTTAAAAGTTTGAAGGCTTCCTTTTTATTATTGAAAAAAATTTCACCAGAAACTAAATAATATTTTCAAATAAATAAAAATTAAAGATTAATTTATGATAATATATTTGAAAATAAATCACATTTTACACGTTAATGGAATATTTTTATTAGTGATCAAATTATATCAAATAAAAAATTTATAATCATATATAAATATAAATTATAAATATAAGACTTTTTTAAAAAATAATTACTATTTTTTTTTATATTTTTATAAATTTTAGTGTGATTAATATTAGTAAATTACAGAAAATTTATTAAAATACACCTATATTAAATTAAGTTTTTTGATGTGGCTATGGACCTGGCTTGGTCTCAGGCTGATCTCATCTCAGGTAGAATTTTGAAGATGTTTGTCCAATATTGCAAAAGTAGACATTTTTGTCTCAATTGCAAGCCGTTAAAAGCCTTAAAAACGATCCAACATTTATCTACTAATAATGATTACTGTCGGTGAGTGTCTAACAAATTTGACGTTATAAAATATTAAAATTTATATAAAAATTATATGTTATCATTTTTATTAATATAAAAAATAAAATATATATTTTTTTATTTTATTAAAATTATATACAATTATTATTAAAATTTTAAATTAAATTATTTTTATATTATATTTATATCTTATGATCGTATTATATTTTAAATTATCAAATTTAATATTTAATTTAGTTTAGTGTAATTTGACATTTGTTTTGAGCGGTCAAGCCTTTTTCTTTAGACCATTTGCCTGTGGCATCAGGATTTGATAATGGTATTTTTAAAAGTGGATCTCTCAAAGATAATTTAACTGCAAATATAAATTGAGTATGGATCGTTAAATTAGCGGTGCCAAATAATATGGTCCAAAAAAAACGTAGCATTTGGATGTTGCAGATCAAGGAGACAACGACGTCGGCGAAGAACAACCTAATGGATTAGAATTGGTTGTGACCACAACATTAGGTAATCACTACAAGAAGAACCGCCCTACAGAAAGTGAAAAGGCATGCAAATGCAGTTGTAATTGCTGCAGATTGATCGCATAGGGCTGGTCCGCTATGTATGTAGTCAATGGTGACTATTCTACGATCAAATTGTTACGGCTACGAAAATTCAAATCTGTTACGGCTATTTTATGGTTTAAAAGATAAAATAAATATTGTCCCAAATCGTGATCATATTTTTTCTTGTTCATAAATTCGCTTTGAGTTCTCCATTTTCACTATATATATATATATAAATACTTTAGCATAAAATATTGCGTTAAGTCTTTATTGATGATTAAACACTCATTTTAAACGTATAAAACATTTATTTTATTTGAAAAATTAATTGAAGTAATAGTACATTTTATTGATGATGAATGATATGTTAAAATTTATCTTAAATTTCATAATTTCATATTGAAAGTTAATGAATTTTTAAGTTTGTCTTGTATCTCACATCAAGAATTTAATAAAAGTATAAATGATTTCACCCTATAAATAGGATATTTTAGATTTGGTTTGATAATCTCATATAGTTAGACACCAAAAAAATAGTTATGAGAATAAACTATTAAAATAATGTAATTGAATTTTGGATTAAGTTTTAAGTAGAGAGTTTTTGAAAACTTTTCTCATTTTAAAAATTTTATAATTTTAAAAATTTATTTGTTAGTAAATTAAATTTAAAATAAATCATTTTCAATTAAATCGAACAAAATATATTTGTGTTTGATTTAAACTTGTTATTTTATTTGTAAGTACTACACTTGTGTGTGTTGAATTTTCCCAATATGATAATATTCAACAAACAAATATTTGACTTACCAAATTGCATTACGATTAAGAAGAAAAAACAATTAAAAGTGCACAAATATATAAAATCAATAAAAAAAAAAAAACTTAACAGATTAAAATATATAGAATTTAATTTTACAAGTTGAAAGCCAGTTCGTCGAAATTGTGATTTGCACGTGAAGAAGAGCAAGCAAAATCCAATTACATGAAGAAGGGTAAGCAACTGTTTAATTTTAGTGTTAAACTACATGAAAAAATTTTAAGTAGATAACAGCTGGAGTTGCGCAAAATCCTACTATTTGTTATATTTAAATATATATAAAATGATTGAATAATAATTTATAATAATACGATGAAAACGATATATTTTTTATGATGTCTTATCTGATTATAATAATAAGTTGAGAGACAATTAACGATAAAAAAGATAAGATACGATGATTTGTATATTTATATAATATAAAATATTAAAATTTATATTTTTATATTATATTTTTATACGTAAATTATATATTATAATTTATATCAATATAAAAATATAAAAAATATTTTTTATTTTATTAAATTTATATATAATAATTATTATAATTTTAAATTATATTATTTTTATATTTTATTATTATAATTTTAAATCGGATTATTTTTATATTTCATTTTTATGTTGTGTTAGGGGTGTAGATTTCTTTCATAATGTGATCTGATCGTGATAATAAACCAATAATTAGTTGGGGTTTCGGCATCGTTTCAGATAATCAAAAGAGTTTTTGGACAACAAATCTAACGGACAAATAAAAAATTATTTTTTCCAAGACAAAATCTTGGTAAATCACAAGCTTTGATTAAAAATTGCATGCTAATACAAACAATAGATGATCATAGAACACGAAAAACAATAAGCTCAAAACTCACAACCGTATAGATTGGAACCGCATATGTTTGTGTTTCCAATTCAATCACAAAGTATAAGCTAGTAATACTTGTCACTGTCCAACCGGACCCAAACTCAAAGCTTCTCTTTTTACGCCAAATCGGCAGCTTTCTTCTGTTTCTTTTCTGGGTTTGTGACGTTGGCTTGAATGGCGGTGGAGTACAGATGTTGCGAGACGGATTTCTTTATTCACATAGTGATAATAGTGTCGTTGGTGATGTTTGCCGGTTTGATGTCGGGCCTTACTTTGGGCCTTATGTCGTTAAGTCTCGTTGATCTTGAGGTTATTGCCAAGTCTGGCACTCCTAAGGATCGTAAACATGCCGGTATTTCTTCATTTAATCTATTTCTTCTTTTTATTTTTTAGAAACGAGTTTAATGCGTTTTTTCTTTTTGTTTTTTTAATTAAGGAAAGAAAATAAATGGATCAAAGTGTTATCTTTTATGGTGTTGGTGATGGCAATGGTGTGGATGCCTTAGCTTTACTTGAAGTCTTTGCTTTATTTGATTGATAGATAACAAATGAACTAAAATCATGAATTGAATGATAGAATCTTTACTTTTTGCCCGAGGTTGATGTAAATTTATCCGTTTTCCTGGCTAATTTAACTTGTTCTTTGAAATTTATGGTTCATAAATATATATTTTTTGAAGAAACCAAGGGAATGAAAGAACAAAATCTATGGATTTTAATCAATAAGGTTTTTATAGCAAAGAAAACTTTGTTCCTGAAATGCAGCAAATTTGGAAGGATAGACATGCAAATTACATGACAAAACCAAATGGTGATCCTATAATTTAGTGATGGTTAATGAAATTATTGTCAGATATTGCTTTATATACTGCATGTTCGATATTCAGATTAAATGCTGCCCGTGCCAACTTTAATTCTTGTTTGGAACCGCAAAGATATTGCCGGTTGTCCAAAAACAGCATTTGTTGCTTTGTACGCTACTTATATGCAATGCTGCTGCAATGGAGGTATATATTATAGATACATCTTCAACAGGTGATCCGGTTACATGTGTTGGAAAATGTTAATGTTTTGGAACTTTTGTTACTTTTATCAGGCACTTCCTATTTTCCTTGATGGTCTGGTGTCAGCTGGGGGTGCTATCCTGATTTCGGTGACCTTGATTCTTCTGTTTGGTGAGGTGAGAATCCACCTTAGATTATTTGAATTGAAGCACTTTTGAATTCAGCGCAAGTAGACATCCTTGTTGAACCATGAACATGACATTTTGTGATCTGACCCTTTTGATTTGTGTCACTCAGATACCGTTTGCTAAAATTTTGGCTGAGCAACTTTTCCCGGAAGGTTCCAGCAATTGGTTTTAAAAATTGTTTTCCAACTGTTCCGGCTTAAGACTTGCTCTTGGAAAGTGAAATTACATATAGCTGCATTAAAAGGCAGCAAGTTCTATGCATTTCCTAATTACATTTTAATTGTATTTGCAGATAATACCACAATCTGTTTGTTCTCGATATGGTTTGGCAATTGGTGCAACAGTGGCTCCAATCGTTCAACTTCTTGTTTGGATCTGTTTTCCTGTTGCCTACCCGATAAGCAAGGTGATGAATGTTGCTAAAAGCACACACCATTAATGCGCTTTTAACAATGAGAAAGACAATTAAGCTTGTAAATTCCTGCAAATAGCTGTCTTGACTGTAAAATATCTTATGTGATTTTCAGCTGTTAGACTTTCTGCTGGGCCATGGACATGTAGCACTTTTTCGAAGGGCTGAGTTGAAAACCTTAGTAAATTTGCATGGGAACGAGGTGTGCTTAACTGCCTCTTAGTATTTCGAGAAACATTGCGTAAAAGGATTTTAGTGTTCCCTTTAGTTGTGTACATCACTTTGTACTGTAACTTAGTTGTTTTAACTTGGCTGTTTTTATTGAATCAATGCTTGTTTTGATCATTGATTTCACCTGCCATGCCATTAATTTGTTGCAGTTGTTAGTTTGCCCCCGTAAAATTATTGATGTCTCTTTGCTTTCTGAATCGAAATGCCTTCTTTCATATCTTCTTTCTTTTGTCATAACTCTTAGATTTACTAACCTTTTATGGACTTCTATTTGGCTGGAAAAGGTGGAGAACTGACGCATGATGAGACAACAATTATCGCTGGAGCGCTTGAGCTCAGCGAGAAAACAGCTAAAGATGCCATGACTCCTATATCTGACACATTTGCAATTGATATTAACGCCAAGCTTGACAGGTATATTTTCTGTAAATTATTAATAAAGATAGCATTTTCTTCTCTTTTTCAATTTTCATTAGATTAGCTACCATTACATGCTTGCTATGGATAGGGAGTTGATGAGTTTAATTTTGGAGAAAGGACATAGCAGAGTGCCCGTTTATTATGAGCAGCCTACAAACATAATTGGACTCATTCTGGTAATCATATTTCTTTGGCTACAACTAATGTTAATTACAGTTTGTGGAGTGTTATTCTGTGCTTATTTTCCGCTTTCCCTCCTTCAAATTGATTCGTTTTAAAATAAAATTTTGAAACTGGATAAAGCTCTGTGATATGTCGAGCTTTCCAGTTTATGATGCTAATGGTTGCATGAATCATGTTACTTTTTAGACTTTTTCCTATTCCTTATGGTGTTTCTTTTTTTTTTATTTTTTTATTTTATGGGTGTTAATTGAGTACTCACTAAACCATTTATCTTTTAATTTTAAAGGTCAAGAATATATTGACAATTCACCCTGAAGATGAAGTACCTGTGAAGAGTGTTACTATACGAAGGATTCAAGGTATCTTATGGCAAATGATACTCTCTAAAAATGGATAACTTGTTTTTGCATCATTCTGCAAAGTATTCACTGCTTACCCCTTTACTCATTGGTTGATCCTATATATTTTATGTTTACATGTTATAGGGTTCAAGAAACATTGCCATTGTATGATATATTAAATGAATTTCAGAAAGGTCATAGCCACATGGCCGTCGTTGTAAGACGGTGCAACAAGACAGATCAGCCTTCTTCTAGTAACTCTGCTGGGAGTAAGTGTCGGCCTCTTATCGTCATATTCTCTCAGAATTTCCACTTAAACCTTTACTTAGCTGACCATAGAAACATATTTAAGATGCAAATTCTTTGTTTATGCCTGGCTGCCATTTTGAGATTTACTGCTCTTCTTTGTCTCTATCAGTTTGTTTCTCTCTCCCCTCTCTTAAAATAGGTCCGTTTCCGGAA